GAATAAAGCCGGCAGACTTAATCTGCGTCGATTTGCTGCCAACTTTTCTTTGGAAGGCAAGCGATCCTTTTTTTCACGTAATACCCACACAGAATACAATGGACTTTTCGGCATGTAACTTATGGTCCCGATGCCCCAAGACTGGGTTTCTTTGGAGCGTTCACCTGACCGACTGGGACCACGGTTAGCGTTTTTTCACATTTCCCAGAACATCTCCTGTGCTCCACACGTAGGCGCCGTAACAAACGTGTGTGTCAGTTACATGGCACAGGAGCATAAATTATAAATAGGACCAAACAAACCCCTATGGTTTAACTTTATTTCTCAAGTACGTGATCCAGTGTATCCACAAACAACAGCAATCCACAGACATTCACCGAGCAAGGATATCTAGTTTAAAAATCATTTCAACATCTAATTATAACCAGATACTGAAATTCCTCCCGCCCCATGTTGTATTCAAGCCGTGACGAGCCAGACAGTGTTCAGATATCTTCCATATGCAGATGCCTTATAATTAAGGCTAAGATTTTGTCACACGTATTTTTAGTAACAGTCTTGGACAGGTCACGGGCAATAAAGAAAAATTCATGGAAGCCCGTGACCTATCCCTGGTTTTTACTGAAAATATGCACGACAAAATGGGGAGCTGTGGGGTCTCCACACCACCCCTGGGGGCCAGGCTGGGAGCTGTGGGGCATCCCCCCGCCTGTGGCTCCCAGCTGCTCCGAGCTCCTGGGTGCTCAAGTCACAGAGGCCTTTGTAAGTCACGGATTCTGTGACCTCCGTGACCAAAGCGTGGCCCTACTTATAATGAACTGCTGAGCGGGGCTGCCCCTCCCCATACGCAACGTAAGCAGCTGCATAGGGCTCCAGGGGATTTGGGGCACCACATTGCTGCGTGCTCCTCCAGCCCCTGCTGTGCCTCTTCCCCATGGCCCCGCCCTGCTCTGCCACAGCCCCGCCCCCACTCCACCGCTTCCCCAAAGCCCACACCCGGCTCCGCCCCTGCCCCCCCTCTTCCCACCCCTGCTCCAGCCCCTGCTCCGCCTCTTCCCCATGGCCCCGCCCCTGCTCCATCCCAGCCCCGCCCCCACTCCACCCCTTCCCCAAAGCCCCCACCCTGCTCTGCCCCGCCTCTTCCCACCCCTGCTCTGCCCCAGCCCCTCCCCCACTGCCCTGAGCTCTGCAGCAGGGTCGGGCCCCCCTGCCCCCCAAGCCAGCCCCCTCCCCCCCGGAGGCCTGCCCCTCCCCCACACCCTCCCACAGGGGGGCTGCGTAGGGCCCCAGAATAGCTAAGGACGGCCCTGCCGGTGACTTTGAAAATATCTGATAATTGCTTCTCTCCTCATCCGTGTCCCCCTCGTCTCTGATCCGCAGACGGGACGCTTTTCCGTTCTGGCAAAGGGAGAAAGGTCGTCGTGGTGCACACCAGGGAACAAGCCCTGCAGCTCTTCGAACAGCATCACGGGGGTCCCCGGGGCGGGCACCAAGGAACCTCGCTGACCACCCGATACTATTGGCCTGGGATGACGAAGGACATCGTCGAGTGGGTCTGTAACGGAACCAAACCCTGCCCCACGTCACGGGCCGTGGCCGTGCCGATCTGAAACGTGCCGTGCAAAGAACGCGGTTCCCACACGGGGCGTGAAAATGTAACCGCCTTTCCCGTGCGATCGTCCTGTCGTATGAGAACGTTAATGTCGTCGTGTGGTTCCGTCCCAACTAGGTGGAGCGATGTGTGAAGTGCCAGAAGGGGAGAAAGGCCGTAACGCTACATACCCCCGTGGAGAGCAAAATGGACACCCCCGTGGAAAGCAAAAAGGTGAATTTTGGACTTGGAGGCATCTGATATGTAGCTTCTGAAATGTCTTTTACACCCACATCGGTCAGAATTTGCTACCTCTGGAGGATGGGACACGGGGTCCCCTTGCCTGGTACTGGGACGTGTCCCCTCTGGGGTGGAGTTGGGGGGCTGGGCACATGGGGATCCCTCGCCCGGTGCTGGGACGTGGCCCCTCTGGGGCGGAGGCTGGGCACATGGGGTCCCCTTGCCTGGTGCTGGGACGTGGCCCCT